TTATCTTATATTTATGCTTCACTGGGCGACTCAAACTACTGGAAGCTGTCCTGTGTGTGTAGCTCAGTCATTGAATTGCCTCAGTACTGTGCAGCGTGACCGAGAATACGCCCAGACATGTCTAAGAGCAACCTCACACACACACACGTGAACGCTGTTCAGACACACACATTTACAGAGTGTGCCACACATGCTTTCATAAACGCACACACCGATATGCTCTGTGGTTAAAGCCAGCTGCACAGCCAGTTTATAGCCTCGATAAGGCTGGTTCTGCCTCACACTGACACCATGACCTCACTGTACTGGTTAAATTAACAATGACAAATAGACTTAACACCACCTACTGAAATTGCACATACACAAAATTCCTAAAAATCAAACTAAGCATTTTTTCATCCCATTAACAAAATGCGTGTTTTCTCACAAATTCTGCCATGCTGATAATTTGGGGAGGGGGCTGCTTAGGTATTCAGATATCCACCTCTGATGTTTGTGGAGGTGCACTGAACAGTTTTAATTTTAACTATTCTACTGTAGCAAAGATGTTGCTGTTGAAGTATTTTTGGCCAACAGAGCCAAAATTCCTTCGTTTTCATTACAGTATATTTGGATGGAGGCAGAAATTCACAAATATCTCAAAACCTAGGAAAATTAAAACCAGAACTATCTGAAAGGCTAGATGGCACTTTCATACCTAATTCCTGTGTTTGCCTGCTTGGTTTGGCTGACATGAAACTGTCTCATGAACTCTGGTGCAGGCAAAGCCACCAACATCACATCATGGGAACTGATCTGTACAAACAACTTTATCAAGACTCAGGTTTGCAAATAAGCACTGTTGGTACAGTATATTGAGATCAGCATCTTGTGCAATATAAGCTGCAGACTACGGTCAGCCCTTGGTATGTTCAAAGTCAACACTGTCAACATGTAACTCTATAGTAGTCATGTAAAAGGGAAGTGCCAAGAAAAGAAAAAGAGAAATAATGCTAAAAGTGGAACATGTCTATTTCAGTTTACTTTCCTGCAGTAGATAATGCTCTAGCAGAAAACAGATCAGCACCTTCTTAGGGAAAAGGTTGTTATAGCCCCAACTTTAAAAGAGGCTGAAATGGTAGGTAGGTACTTTATTGATCCCACAGTGGGGAAATTTCTGTGTTACAGCAGCAATAGAGAACAACCAACATAACACCATAAGAACAGACACATAAGAACAGAACTTCATAGGAACACGGGAAAGAACACAACGAGGACACAGCTGCTGTAACTTGCTGCCACTCCGCGCGGCGCATGCATACGTAAGTACGTAGTAACAAAGAACACTTAGTCTTAAAATAAAAAGTTACATAAAGGCAACAGAGCATTAAACCGATATGCACAGGATTATAAAAGTAGCGTCATCAGAATGTTACATTACAGCACAAATAAGCAAATCAAAGGCACCTAAAAACAGGGCAAAGCAGCACTGGAGAGAATCAGGAACAGCAGTAGAGACTAAACAACCAGGAAATCAAGAACAATCAAATATTACTCACACAATTAATCCCACAATGGGGGAGAGAAACCTATGTTTCAGCCATAAGGATCTCTGAGCAACTACTCAAAAATACCTAAAGCAGGGCAATGTACAGTATTTGAGAGAGATCAGGAACAAGATATTACACATGAGCCTATTTACAATGCATTTCACCCCCCAGGAGCTGAATATTGCACCTCAGTAGATTATTGCATAGTCCCTCATAATTTCACCCATCTTATCCCTGCAGTGATGTGTTGTACAGTCTGATTGCTGTAGGGATGAACGACCTGCGGTAATGTTTCTTCTTACACTGGGGATGTAACAGTCTCGTGCTAAAAGAACTGTTCAGAACCACCACTGTGTGGTGCAGGGGATGGGAGGGGTTATGCATGATGGGTTTTAGTTTTACCAGCATCCTTCTGTCCGCCACCTCCTCGATGGAATCCAGAGAGCAGTCCAGGACAGAACCAGCTCTCTTAACCAGCTTTTTGAGTCTCTTTCTGTCCCTGACCGTGCTACCTCCTGCCCAACCCACAACAGTGTAAGAAACAGCAGATGCCACCACAGAATCATAAAATGTCTGAAGGAGTGCCCCGCGCACACCAAAGGACCTCAGTCTCCTCAACAAGTGGAGGCGGCTCTGGCCCTTCCTGTACAGGGCATCAGTGTTGTTGGTCCAATCCAGTTTATTGTTGAGATGGACACCCAGGTATTTAAAGGTGTCCACAATCTCAATGACTGAGCCCTGCAAGCTCACCGGCGTGAGTGCTGGTGATTTCTGCCGGAGGGGTCAGTCATCATCTCTTTTGTCTTGCTGGTGTTCAGGACCAGTCGATTTTCCTCACACCACTTCACAAAGTCAGTAGTCATCAGAGAACTTTTGTAGGTGACAGTGGTGGGAGTTGTACTTCAAGTCCGACATGTAGAGGGTGAACAGAAAGGGGGAAAGCACCGTCCCCTGGGGCGCCCCTGTGCTGCAGACCACCACATGGGACACACAGTCATTTAGCCTGACAAACTGAGGTCTGTTTGTGAGGTAGTTAATGGTCCATGCAGACAGGTGTTGGTCCACACCTGCCCACTCCAACTTCCCACTCAGCAGCGACGGCTGGATTGTGTTGAAAGCACTGGAGGAGTCAAAGAACATTACCCTCACAAGACTTCCGGGGGACTCCAGGTGAGATAGGGCTCAATGCAGCATGTAGATAATAGCGTCATCAACCCAGATGCCAGGTCGATATGCAAACTGCAGCGGGTTGAGCACCGAGCTCCCCTGGGCATGGACGTGGCCGAGGACAATCCTCTCCATGGTCTTCATCAGGTGGGAGGTCAGGGCAACGGGTCTGTAATGGTTTGTCTCCTTGGGATGAGTTATTTTAGGAACTGAGACCACACAGGATGTCTTCCACAGAACCGGAACTCTCTCCAGGCTAAGACTCAGATTAAACATGTTCAGGACCACTTCACTGAGCTGGTCTGCACACTCCCTGAGGACCCTGGGGCTGATGTTGTCAGGGCCTGTGGCCTTCCTGGCCTTAATCCTCCTTAACTCCCTCCTCACCTGGTCCACCATGAGGCTGAGGGGATGGGTGGGCGGTGACTGCTCAGGAGCTGTAGGCTGTTGACAGTGGGAGGAGGGGCAAGGTCTGGCTGAGATGTGAGCAGGTGTGGCTGCAGGGAGACAACTGACCTGGAGAGGTGAGACAGGGGCCTGGCACGGTGGGGGCTAAGGACTTGGTAGAGTCAAATCCGTTAAAGTAGAGTCAAATCTGTTAAAAAACAGATTCAGTTCATTTGCCCAGGCCTTGTCCACCGCGACCTGGTGACCATCATCACTTTTACCATGATCCGAGATGTGTTTCAGGCCTCTCCATACCTCACATACGTTGTTATTTTCCATGCTCTGCTCCAGTTTCTTCCTGTAGCTAGCCTTGCACCTCCAGATCATGTACTTTAGTTCCTGCTGCACTCTGCTCAGCTCCTCCTTGTCCCCTGAGAGGAAAGCCCTTTTCTTCTCATTTAGCAGTATTTTTAACTCGGGGCTCACCCACGGCTTGTTGTTAGGAAAACACTGTACTATACTGGATAGTACGGTATTTTCCACACAGAAGTTTATGTAATCCGAAACACAGTGTGTGAGGCCGTCTGTGTCCTCACCATGTGGACTACAGAGGATGTCCCAGTCTGTGGTGTTAAAACAGTCTCTCAGCTGCTCAATTGCCTCCTCTGTCCATACTTTTACTACCCTGACCTGTGGTGACACCTTTTTCACCACTGGAGTATACACTGGACGCAGGTGGACAAGGTTGTGGTCAGAGCGACCTAGAGGGGGGAGGGGGGCGGAGGTGTATGCATTTCTGACATTTGCATACAGTAGGTCCAGAGTTTTATTGTCCCTCATGCGGCAATTAACATACTGTTTGGATGGCTAACATACATGGATGGCTGAACATTAGCTACACCCATGTGGTTTGCCTTCCATCCTCTTTCAACAACCAAGCTGGCTTTAGAGTATGATTTTGATTAATTCATTCATTCACTGAGAAAATCAGTTGGTAGCTGTTTCTATAGCAGAAATGGCAAATGTGAAGGGGTTCTCTATACAAGAATCTGCTGCTTTTTTGTGGCCCTACATTGTTCAACTATGTCGTGTGTCATCCTCCATGGGCAAAGAGCGTACGCCAGAAATTATGTCCCACATCCCCAAAGCTGTAAACCTTCCAGGCCAAGAGCCTCACGATGGCTATGTGAGAAATTGAAACCAGAAAACATTCTAAATGTGTTCCCGTACAGCAGTTGAAAAGCTCAGTAGTTAGCACCACTGACTTTGGTATGACAGGTTGGGGTTCGATTCTTTGTCAGAGGACAGGATCAGTGTGGGCCTGTAGCAGGGAGATAGATGCCTTGTATCAAACCAAGCACACATATGTTTTCTCATATACAAAGACTGGCTTAGCAAGGAAAAGAGGGTGCTTGGTTTGATGCAAGGTATCTCCCTGCTAAGGGACCGTGCTGAACATTGACCGTGCACTGACAGATAATCAAACCCCAACCTACCATACTAAAGTCAGTGGTGTTACCCACCAAGCTAGCCACCAGCTGTATAGGCACACCTTTAGAACTTTTACTGGTTTCAGGTCAGTCATGTTTGTGAACATATGTGTACAGACAAAAAGTAAAATAAGATAAGATAAGACTTTATTAATCCCACAATGAGGAAATTCCTCTGTTTCAGCAGCAACAAACAACAAAAATCATAAGAACAACAAACACTATATGTATCTCTGAAAACAAATCAAAATACCTAGAAACAAGACAGAATATAGTATTTAAAAGAAGAAACTCAAGAACAACATATTACATATGTGCATATTTACAGTGCATGTAATTGCATATATTTAGGAGTACTGAGGTTTAGCGTGAATCACACCTGAATCTGATTGGACAGTGACAGCCCAATCACAGAGCTGAGTCAAATTGTCCAATCAGGTGGCAGCTGAGTTCTTCAAGTTACTCTCCAGTAGTGGTTCTGTAAGTTGGGGAGATTCAAGATGGACGACAGCAGGCGCTCTTTTGCTATTCAGGTGGGTCGCATTAGAAAATTGTAGAAAATCACAGTAAACATTTCATGTATCTGTATGTAGGCAGCGCACAGGTGCTTCGCTGTTAACACAGTTGTCCAAATGTATGTTTTCTGTTAGGTGGGATACTTTATTTAGCATTTGCTGAATGCTAATGTAGGACGTTAGCAAATCTCTGGTAGCAAGAAATTTTTCAAAGGGAAGGTTAGCCGTCCAGTACTCTTTTACATGTCCCATTAATGTAAATGTCTTATATTTAATATTAATCATGCAGCTCAATTAAAAACGCCAAGCTGGTTTGGACCTCACCGGTTCTTCATCAGCATGGAAACTTAACAAATTATTTGCACCTGTATGTTTCCGCCCTGATGAAGACCCAGTGAGGTCCAAACCGGTCGGCGTCTTTTTACTGAGATGCCCTTTTACAGGTAAGAGTACTACATTAAATGTTGCTTCAATAATAGTGCAAAGGCATTAACAGCGAAATATATTTAAATTACCAAAAGTAAAAGTAGTCACTGTGCAGAATAATAGGATGCGTTTCACATTGATGTACACACTTGTGCAAATTAATTGAAACAAACTGCAATTTCTCATCTTTCCATGGATAGTCATGAATTTATACAGGAAAAAGTTATAAATTTACTTTTTTTTTTGTTCCCTTTTCCCAAGGAGATGTTATTTAATCATTTTCTGATGCAATCGGTAGATGATGTAAAATATACCCTATACTATATCGTCTGTGATTGCATTATAGTTCATATAAACAGGCTCCGTTTCTCCAAAGCGCAAAGGTAAATGTGGTCAAAAGAGGAAAACCACACCAAGAGATGATGCTTACTTGATACGGGAAAGTGCGCAAGACCCTAGAAAAACAAGTGATGTCTTAAAAGTTGATTTAAAGGAGAAAGGAATAGAAGTAAGTTCATCCACTGTTTGCAGGCGTCTCTTGGAGGTAGGCCGGAAAGTCTACAGGCCAGTGAAAAGACAACTCCTGACCAAAGCTATGAAAGTGAAATGTTATAAATGGGCATTGAAAACATAGTGGACTGGCCTGGAAACTCTCCTAATCTAAACCCAATTGAAAATTTGTGGTCTATTTGTAAGCAAAGGCTGCGTGGAATGGACTGCACAGCCATGGAGAAGATGATTCAGGCCCTAATTCAAGTTTGGCACAAGGACCCGAAAAACATCCTAGACTGTTCAAAATTGTTGAATTCGATGCCAAATCGCATCCAGATGCTTCTCAAGAGCTGAGGAGGTTATATCATGTACTGATGTGAGTGTTAGAATATTGTTCATATAAAGAAAATTGAGAAAAACTGATTTTTGTTGTTTTCAGGGTTTGTTTCAATAAATTTGCACAAGGGTGTATACTATTTGATTAAAATGATGAACACAATAATGAACCAGAAATTGTTATAGCTGGTAAATGTAGGGATAATTTTTACTGTTAAAATTTGGACTTCTGGTGAGTAGCTTGTAAATTTCTCACCAGAGTTTAATGAAGTCTCATGATTAGGCTTATACTGTATTTTCTTTTTATTGATCTAATTCTGCAAAGAAACCTCAAGTTATTAAATAAATCTAGTGAAGTAAAAAGGTATGGTAAGATGTGAAGAAACAGAAAAACTAAAAATAAGTACAGATGCCTCAATTGCACTTATGTACAGTGCTTTTCCCAACAGAGTTTGATGCTGTTACTAGATGAATGTGACTAGTAAGCATAGGCTAGGAAAATTAAGGAAAGATCAGGGGAGTAGAGGCTTAGATGTGCAAGAAATATGAATTGATTAGAGAAAACAGTTGTCTTTAAAACTTCCATTTAGCCTCAAAGTGCATCATATACTGAGAGAAAGTGGTAAGAGCTGTTGAGTTTTCCCGCATGTTTGATTTTTATGAAATGTAGTTTGTACAGGTTTCTGTCTTTCTGTGATTAGAGTAATTGTTACAACTAGGACAGACATAAGACTAACTCCCCCCATGTATTTTTCAATAGGCCACAGAACACAAGGACAAGAATATGGGACTCGCTGTGAGGAGGACTGACAGCGTTCTGGGCCCCTGTCACTCCTACATATGGACATGAACTGCAATTTGATGAGGTGAGAAACATTAAAGTTGTGGTGGTTCAAGTGAGAGTACTATACTAGTACTAATAGGTTCAGGTCAGACTAATTTCTCAGATGTTTTTTCCTGACAAACCAATTTCAAAAGTGTTTGAGCAACTTGGATATAAATTGTAACGAAAATTCTCAAATTAACATGGAACACAATGTAATTGCATACAACATTTAATTCTTTGTTCCAGTCTGACCCATTTTCCCCCACTGACAAACTTCCTAGTTTGATATATGGTGTTTTAAGACAAAAGGTGTGCATACTAGCGTCTGTATAAATGCTTTCACTCTGCATTTATCCCCATGTTTGTACACGGGGTCAGAATGAACTGTAATGTAACAGTTTAACTTACTGTAGGATAATGAAGCTTTGTTGTGCCCTAAACCAAAGGTTCAGAGCCTGTATTGCTTTAGTAAAAATTGCTCTGTAATGTTTATGGCAAACATTTTTATAACATTGATGATTGACCATTGCTCTCAAGTGAAACAGGCTGTTTTAACTCATGTTTTGATCCTCCAAATGGCCAGGAGCTGTGATGCTGCAAAGAAACCTGACTTTTACAGCCAGGTAAGCAGTCTTGTTTTGGTGAGATGTCTGTATATTTTTGTCCTACCCATTGACATAAGCGTCAATGTTATGCCTGATCAGTAGGTTAAACAATTCTCTCTTTGGCTTTACAGTAGTAACTTTAGTTTTTAAAGCAGACAAGGAATAGTTGTACACTGCACCTGTGAACTGAAGCATGCAATCAAATTGTCTTCCTTTCCCCAGAGCCTGCCTTGATGATCTGGACACAACGCCTTGTTCCTCAACTCTCATGAGTATAGTGTAAACAACCTGTGCTTAGCACTATTAACAATGCTCCCCTATATTTAAACACTAAGTGGTTTTGTCCTTTATTGGCCTATTAAAAAAATCTCCCACACTGTACCCTCCTTTTAAGACATGGTGCTGAAGTCTTAGTACAGTATTTTTTTTTTGTCCGTAGCTGGGTTGAAAAATAGCAGTAGGCGGTTTAATTTGTAATGGCTTTATTGGGGGGCCCTTTAAACATGTTCTCCCCTATGGAGAATCCTATGTTACATGCTACTGAAGTTTAGGCAAAAGACAGGAAATCCTTACTGGTGGGTTCATCAGGGTAGAGTGCCTCACATTTTCTCCATGTGCCTGGACCACAGTTGTGAGGACTTCTCACAACTGCGGTCCAGGCACATGCACTGTCACAGCATGGAGAAGATCTGACTTACTCTATGCTGATGACCCCATCCGGAGGGATTTCCCACCTTAAAAACTTCAGCAGCTGGCTGAGCTGACAGAACCTGCAAAAGAAAAAAGTATTGTAAAAGCTTTGATTTAAATAAATGATCATTTATAAAACTTGCCTGTCTCCATACATGTCCTCAAAAATGCTGCCGATTGGCTGGCCAGAGCAAGAGTTTTAAATTGCTGTTAAAGCATAAGTGTGGAACCTTTTTACAACTGCATACTAAACTGAAGGAATGTTACTTCACTTTGAGAAGCTGTCCACAGCAACACAAATTTAATGCAACACATTTCACAACGGTCTGAACAATTGACTCACCCACCATCTTGTCTGGAGGGTTGTAGTGTGAGCCCATAAAGCTTTGGGTTGTCTTCAGTGGGCCGTGTGCCTCCCAACTTCTGGACTTTATGTACTCAGGTCTTCAGATGCACTGCATTCAAGTACATTGTTTTACAGTTAAACTTGCCTTTCATGAAACAATAGTGGTGAAGGTAACTACATCAATATGGTTTATATACACAGTATCTATGCAAAAGTATAGTTAGTCCTACTGTTGTGCATATTGCCAAAATACAGCAAATGAACATGAATAATAAAGTACATCTCAATTTGAGCGAAATGACAGGAATATTTTAGCAGCTCTGTAGGTTCTGCTTATACAACAAGGTCTATGTTCAATGTTTAGTATGATGCATACATAGACAGCCCTGGGGAAGACCCAGGACACGCTGGAGGGACTATGTCTCTCGGCTGGCCTGGGAATGCCTTGGCATTCCCCCGGAGGAGCTGGAGGAAGTGCCTGGAGAGAGGGAAGTCTGGGCATCTTTGCTTCGACTGCTGCCCCCATGACCCAGTTCCGGATAAGCAGAGGAAAATGGATGGCAAACATGGATGAGAAAGCCTGTGATGTAATTACAAGATCTACAAAAACTAGTGAATCCACCTCAAATGAGTAGTAACACCTACCTATTCATGAACAAAGACATCCTTCGTACAACACCACAATATACCACCACCCCATCCTAAAAACGCCCACCCTGAGCATCTCTGAAGATCAGTATTTTGTACAAATCCATGTATGAAGCTACACCATTGTTTCTATTGTTCTGGTGAACTTACCCATCCACAGCCTAATAAAGGGGTGTAGCATCAATTTGTTCTTGAAGAGGGAGACTGTAAAGCATGTGCTTCCCATTGTTGATCATCTGGAACATCTTGTTTGTAGACCACTACCTTGAATGTAGAACAGGAGGTATTACAGGAGTAGAATAAGACAAGTACCACAAATGTAAAAAAAAAAAAATGTATAATGAAAACAAAATGTCTTCATTTGAAGTGCACATCTGTCTGCATTTAGTATTTTCTACACTAACAGTTATAGGCACTGAGCAGTGAATTCACATGTGGCCTCCCTCAATTGTTAACCTAAAAAAAAAAAAACCCACACATTACAAAACTCCATTATTTGCAGCTTTATACAAGTCATCCTCCAGTTTTCAGTTCTGAATACTCAGAACTTCAGGAATCTAAATTTAGAAATTCTCTCAATTTGCTTCCACGGTCAATAAAACCTGCTGAATGTGATCTTTATTTAAACAAACAGGGCATTTGGGCCGTTCATTAATGGCAGCTGATGGTTTGTCTGGACTTCAATCTAAACACAGGCTCCATCTTACACAGACGTGGCAGAAAAACAAT